CACCTAGCCCGGCCTCTCTTGAGCTTTAACCAGCGATTTATAGACGCTTCATTATTTGGGATGTATGGGTGGGGGCTTCTATTGGACTCAGGAATGATGAGTCTTCAGGCTTTCAGGGTTTTGCCTGCTCACAGCTCAAGCCCCATCTGGAAAGCAACCATCAGGATGTTTTCTGGTTTTGTTGTGTTTTGAGTCAGGGTGTCACTCTGTCACACAGGCTGGAGTGCAGTGGTGTAATAGCAATCATGGTTCACCACAGCCATGGGCTCAGGAGATCCTTCTACCTCAGTCTCCTGGGTATCTGGGACTACAGGTGTGTGCCACCATGTCCAGCTTATTTTTTTGATGATTATTATTATTATTATTTGGTAGAGACAGGTTCTCACTATGTTGCCCAGGCTGGTTTCGAATTCCTGGGCTCAAGTGATCCTTCTGTCTCAGACTTAATACTGGGATTACAGGCATGAGCCACTACACTGGGCTGTGTGCCTGGGGATGTCTTAGTGGTAGATGTTGACTACTGTTATCACCATCACCTTTATCTCTCCCATCTGGATGGAACTTTACAGGTTGCAAAGCATTTCCTTTTACTTCATTTTATCCTCTAGGTGCAGTAAAGTTTTTATGGGCTATTTTTACAGATGGGAGACTGAGTCTGGAAGCATCCCCTCCTCGGACATGGAACCTGTCAGCCCATCCATGCCTACCTGGACAGCCAGCTGAAGGAGACAGTTGTACCCTGTGCTCACAGATATGATACAATGTATTTCCTGGGCTCTGACAACTTTGCACTAGCCCTCAGCTTCCTGTTCAGAGTTCGTGCTTACCTGTCTGTGGTCCCCATTGACTGTGATCCTCCCAAGAGTCGAGACTGTCCTCTTTCAGCGTCCCCTGACCTGGCAATGTACCTGACTTGGGTAGAAGTGTGGATGATCCTTGAACATTAGCATGCCATCCTCTCCACCTCCCTCCCCCACTTTGCCTCAGCCCCCATCTTCCTCCTCCTCCCTCAGTGGACCATGACAGAGTGACATGTGGCAGCTCAGAGCCCAGCTTCTGGGGTGAGGCCAACTCTGACTCTACCATTCACTGCCTTACTCTCCACATCTCTACAACGGGAATCAGAGAGAGGGAAATCTTTGAGTCCAGAGTTGGCACAAAATAGGCAACTAATAAATAACGCGTCTTTAAATATTTATGAGGATGATTTGCCCTAGGACATGATGTAAGGCATAGTAACTTGATCTTAAACAGTAAGTGGGTCTCCATCGCCCTCTCCTGGCTGGGTGGGGTGTCTCCATCTCCACTCCCCCAATCCTATGGAATGCAAACCCCCACCCCATCCCTACCCCAAGTACCTGCAGCAGGTGGCTTCCTGGGCTTTGGAGTGGGGCCAGAAGTCCAGGCAGTCCCGGCGCTCAGGTGTCAGATTTACACAAGCTTGGCACTTTGTGAGTGCTTGGGAGACATCAACCCCTGCTCTGGCCACCAATGCTGTCACTCCTCCCATCTTTGGGCCTCAGCCTCCCATCTAACATGGAGGTTGCACAGCTGGCCCATGGGGGACCAAGGCAGAGCTCAAAGAGTGTCTGTTCCCACCGTCTCTGCGGCTCCTTGGGACACATCCAGGGGACTGTCCCCCCAGGACAATGCCAGCACCCAGCCAGCCCAGAGGAAGGCCCACATTCCGAAGTCCCAGGCACTGTCACAGCACAAGTCCAAGGTCAGTTCCATGGGAAGGAGACAGCTGCTCCTGGAGAGTGGACGTTGTCCTGACCTGCCCTCAGAAAGCTTGCACTGAGAATCCAGGTCTGGAATATACATGGCACTATGACCTCGACCGAGGCATTTAGAGCCCATTGCAGATGTATGAAAGAAAGCTACTGAGCAGGGAGCACTTATCTCAATGCCCCAGATAATTCTGGGAGCACATTGCCCCCTCTCTGCAGTGGCACCAAGCCTTTATCCAGATCCCCCAAAGGGTCTCCGCCCATGCAGGATGGGTGCTGCCAGTCCTAGGAGCCAGGCTTGCTTCTGCTTCCTTCTGCCAGACCTCGGTCCAGCAGTTCCCATTCCTGAGCTGCCTCTGTCTGTGGTTGGGGGTCACTGCATCCCTAAGTGAAGATGCTCTATATGCCCCACTAGCTGGCTGGTCCCCAGGAAAGTCTTGCACCCACTGATCCAGACAGCAAGGGCTCCTTTAGCAAGACCAGGGCCGCATGCCCCAGAGCACCCACAAACTGGCCACACATGCACACCCTTCAGACTTTGTAGCTGTTTTTATTATTAATATTATCTTCTCCTTTAAGCATCCCTTTAAGGGTGAAATGAAATCCAACCATTTACAGAGAAAATGATTTCAGAATGTACATATTGATTTTCCCTTACAAAAAAAATAATACTATTATTATTGGTGTCCTTAAATTATCCATTTCCCAGGGGCCTGCCTTTGGCAGGGGCAAGTCCTGCCTCCCCACCCCGATTGTCCCCTTTGCCCCCAGGCTCTCCTACACTGCCCCTGGGAACTGATGTGACCCGTGGGTGGACAGGGCTGGCCGCACTCCCTGGATGCTTGGCACAGACAGGCCTTCTTGGGTCTAGAGGTCGTGGGCCACTGGTTTCCGCAGAGAAAAGTCTGGATATGGCGACAGGGCAGCAGTGTGCTGGCATTCACAGTTTGGTTTCCCTCATATTGGAGAGTGGCCCTGGGCTTCCCTGCCCCCCAAATTCCCAGTGTATATTGTGATAATATGTGAGACTCTCCACTCCCATGCCCTGGCCCCCACCCCGACCACTGTCCTCTCCACCCACGGCCTCCACTTGCAGTGTGAACTGACCCTGCTCCACCAGGTCTGAGAGGGAAGCCGGGCCTGGCAGGGCTAGCTTCTCCCACCTTCCCTTACCTGTGAGCTAGTGCACTGGAGCGAACCCTACCAGCCTGAGAAGGGGGCATCCCCATAGCACCTGAGCATGCCAGGGGCATGGGGTGAGGAAGCTATTAGGAGGGAGGTCCCGGGCTGGGCCTCAGGCATGATTCAGGAGCCCCAAGACTGCCTGTCCATAGGGTGCAGCCTGGCCTGGTTGACCCAGAACCCCTCAGCCTCAAGAGGAAACAGGAAGGCTGCTGTGACTTCAAAGGAGGGGTGCCATCGAGAAGCATCCCCGAGATGGGAGTGAGAATGGGGCCACAGAGCCCCTCAGCCTGCTTCATCCTGCCCACCAGAGGGTGCTCCGAAGTCAGCTCCGAGGTCAGCTCCCCACACCACACCCGCACCAGGCACTGCTCCCCATAGAACTGTGGCATGGAGATACCCTCCTCTCCTGGCCCATCAGGAAACTCCTAATAAGACATCTAGAAAGAGCCGCACTGGAAGGGACGGGAAGGGCTGGGCGGGAGGATGTGGGTGGGGCCGAGAGGGGCTGGGTAGGTAGTGGGCTCCCAGCTGCATAGCCCTCAGGTTGGGAGGATTCTCATTCCTCAGACTGAAAGACAGACAGACAGACGGACTCTGTATCCCCTTCTGCCTTGCCTTCTGGGCTCCCCAAGGGCTTTCTGCCCTGGTCATCTTGGAGAGCTGCAGGAGGTGTGGCCACAGGCTCTACAGGCCCCAGGGAAGAGGACGCCTGGGTCAAGCCTCCCACATCCACACACAAGCACATATTTACAGGGACACATCAATACAGACATGTACAAATACACACCAAGCATGCACCCATGCCCATAAATATACACGCACACGCACAAACATGTACCATTCCTCAGGCAGACTGCAAACTGGCATCACTGGGTGACATCCGAGGGGGGTGAGGGGGTGTCTCCCCTTCCCACACGGCTGCAGGCTCCCCCAGCACCACTGCGCCCCGGCGGCCCTGGGCTTCCCAGTGAGAGGAGCAGGAGCAGGTTGTTCCAGCAGCTCTGACATGAGAGCAGGATCTGACAACTGAGATAGTCATTTCGACCCCCTCCCCCTCTGCCAGAGATGCTGCTTGTCCCCACATCCATTCTCTTTTCCTTTATTAATAAGAGAATCCCCAAGTTTAGGCTGGGCACATGGCAGCCCAGCTGCAGACGACACTTCCCAGGTTCTCTTGTAGCTGCTTGTGGCCATGTGACTGAGTGCTGGCCAAAGAGGCCATCAGAAGTGCTTGCCATCTCTGGCTCATACCCTGAACAGGAAAGGGGTGTGTCCCCCTTGTCTATCTCCACTTCCCCCAGGTTTGGGTGCACACAGGATGGTGGGGTCCAGAGCAGCCACTCTGTACCCAGAACTAGAAGGTGCGTACGAAGGAAGCAGAGCTGTCCCACTTGCTCTGGACCAGCTCCCTCTAACAATTTAATTCGAAACAAGCTTCTGTTTTGCTTAAACCACTGTATTTCAGGGTCTCTTAATTGTAGCAGCTTCAAATCTACTCCAACAAACACATCGCCCCACACGAGGCAAACTACAAGGAACAGGATGACACACAACTGGCCTTAACGTCCCTTCTTGGGCCCAGGACAGCCTCATGGCCCCTTCCTGGCACCTAGCCAGCCCCAAGGAGAGGCACAACAGTGATGGCACCTGGGATGGTGGACAGCTGGCGCAGTGGGTGCCAGAGCGGGGAGTGATGGGAAGGGAGAGGTGGATCAATGTAGAAGCCTCCTGTCAGTCTTCTCTCCTCTCCCAACCCTGGGTCGCCTATAACTGGACTCCTGGCCTTGCAAAGACTGAGCGGGAAGCCAAGACAGCAATATAAAAAGTAAGAAGGGGCCGGGTGCAGTGGTCCACACCTGTAATCCCAGCACTTTGGGAGGCTGAGGTGGGAGAATCACTTGAGCATAGGAGTTCGAGACCAGCCTGGGCAATATAGTGAGATGTCTCTATAAAAAATTTAAAAATTAGCCAGGCGTGGTGGCACACACCTGTAGTCCCAGCTACTTGGGAGACTGAGGTGGGAAGATCACCTGAACCCAGGAGGTCAAGGCTGCAGTGAGCCATGATGGTGCCAAGTGCACTCTAGTCTGGGTGACAGAGAGACCCCAACTAAAAAAAAATTAAAAAAAGAAAAGTAAGGAGGAATGTCAGGGTCGAGTTGGAACCAAAAGGAAGACTCCCCAGGGTTTCCCAAGCCCCATGCCTCAGTCAGCTCATGAGGGCTGAGGAGCACAGAGACAGATACAGGCCTCTCCATGCAGTGGTGGCCTGTCCTTTGGGGGCAGGGGCTGGAGTTCTCTCCCTCTGGCCCAGCACTTCTGACAACACTACAAAACACCCATCAGCACTCCCTCTCAGCTGGATGTCATCTCCCATCCCTCCTTCCTAGGTGTTCCCTTCCTCCTGGACCCAAATGCATCTATTTACAGAGCCCAGACCCTCCTGGCATGCCCATGTCCCACTGCTAGTCCAAAGCCCCAGGATGCAAAAGGGTGGGCTACTCCCTAGCCAGGCTGCACCCCCATGGGCTGCCCTGTTGAGCTTCTGCAGGTTCCCTTCCCCCGTCCCCCTCCCCCGCCCCTCCCTTGCTACCTGGTGACCACCATGCACTCCAGTGGCACCTCCTGGCCACAGCGCTCTTGGCAGCTGAAAGGGCTGGGCTGTGCGGATGTCACGGCCCGCTTCCCTTTCCTGACAGGACAGATATTTTCTGAGTTCACAGTCCTGACCTTTGACTCACAAGGGCTTGTGTAGGGAAACCCACCCCCGCCCCTCACTCCTGGTCCTCTTAAGAACCACCACACCAGGCAGAAGAAGGCAGGAAGGTATTACCAGGGGCAGCCACCACCCCAGCTGCCACACACCCTATGAGATCATGCAGCCTTAGCCTTCAGCCACGTCCAACCTTCCTCCAGCGGGTGGTCTTCCCTCGGGACCCCTGTTCCGCCGCCTGCCAGCGGCTGTGCTCTTGGGCTCCTGATAGGGGTTGTCTAGCAGGTAGCGGAACTGGTTGTAGTTCTTGAGCAGGTACTTAGGGGCATACATGTGTTCGCTGGGGTCGGCGGGCGGGTATTCCTGCTGCGTGCCGTCAAACCAGCCCCCGGTGCGGATCAAGCTCCGGATGTACTTGAGGTCCCGCTTGTCCTCATAGTCACCCCAGCGGGGGAAGTCGCCGTTCTGGGCAGACACCAGCTTGAAGTAGATGCCCTCGGGCGTGAAGCACCAGGAACAGTGCCAGCCCGCGAAGTGCAGGGGGCTGCCCAGCGACCACTGCACCAGGATGTGGCCAGTGCGGTTCTCGTACTGCCTGAAGTTGGGCATGGTATAGTACTGGCGGCGACGCAGGCGGATGCCATCAAGCCCGTACACGGCCTGCAGCATGTCCACCGTGCAGCCCGACACCACCTCCAGGGTGCCCGGCTGCTTCCAGAAGAAGCCGTAGAGCGACTTGCGCATGTGGAAGGCGAAGGGCTCGGTCCAGCCGTCGTAGAGCTTGAGGAAGAGGACGCCGTCGCGGGCCGGGATCTCGTCGGCATCGTCAATGATGAAGACGTCGTCCGGCCGCAGGTTGCGCAGGCGCGAGATGCCGTCCTGGGTGAGGAAGGGGCGCAGGTAGTCGTCGGCGATCCAGCCGTCCTGCCGGCCGCCCGGCGGGAAGTGGTCCAGGAAGACATACAGCACCTTGTGGCGGATGTACTCGAAGGTGCCGTTGGTCAGCCTCTCCCGGAACTTGAGCGGCCGCGGCTCCCCGTAGGCCGTGAAGTTGGACTCGCACACCACGAAGGCGTCCACCACGTCGCCCAGCTCGTGGAAGCGCACGGCCAGCAGGTCGAACTCGTGGTTGATGTTGATGGCGTTGATGACGCGGCGTGGCACCTCCCGGGGCACCAGCCGCTCCTTGGTGGGCAGGTTGGAGTACTGCACCACGGTGGGCACGCCACAGCTGGGCCCGTGCCAGCCCGGCAGGCACACACACTCCACCCACTTGCGCCGTGCGCCCCGGGCCCCCGTGCGCTCCCGGGTGCTCAGCAGGTACCTCGGCGGGCGCCGGGCGGTGGAGCCGTTGGCCCCCTCGGGCTTCTCCTCGGGCCGCCCCGGGGGCGGCTTCTCCAGCATCTTGGTCCCGGGTTTGAAGCAGACACCTCCGGCTTTGGTGCGCACGAAATACTCGGTGGTGTCCTCCGGCAGCACAAAGTCCACCCGGTGGAGTTCCTCGGCCGCCTTGCTGGGCGACAGAGGCTGGAGCAAAGGTGAGTGGGAGTAGAGGGGGGTGCGCAGCAGGTCGGAGCCCCCTGGTTCGGGGCTGGCCTGGGGCGTGACCGGGGCATTGTTCCAGAAGAAGCTGGACACCAAGTTAGGGCTGAGGGACGCCAGTTCTCGGGGGAACGTGACATAGGACAGGGTCTTGAAGAAGTGCAGGAAGGAGATGAGGCACAGGCCGGCCATACAGAACATGAGAAAGAGCTTGTAGCGTCTCATCTTCATCCTGGGAAAGAGGGAGACAGCACAGGGTCAGGGCGGCCTGAGGCTCTTCTAGGAAGAGGCCCCAAAGGCCACTGCTGCCACCGTGTTTGCGATCATCCTGGCCAATGCTTGGTGCTCCTGCATGGAGACAACTCTTCGTACCCAGGCCCATGGAAGCCCCCAGCATCGAGGAAACCCCCAGCATCGAGGAAACCCCCTGCTCCCACAGCCCTTCCCCTGAGAGACCACCAGGCCACCGCAATCCCCCTTTTCAGCCAGCTCCTCCACCTGGCCCTCCCCACCCTAACTGTACCAGCTGCATTCCCAGGCTTGCCTGCTGGAGCAGATGCAGCCTGGGGAAAGGTCAGCCAGGAGTGCAGGCCCTGCCTGGAGGCTCCATGCCCCAAGGAACAGGAGAGTAGGCTGCCAGCTGTCCCTGTGGGGTCCCGCCTTCGCACGGCCCCAGGGTCCTGTTCTGGCCCTGCCCTCCCAGGCAGTGTCCCGCTTCTGCACTGCCCTAGGGTGCTGTTCTTGTCCCTCCCTTCCTTCTTTTTTGCAGACACTGACAAACCTTTTGAATCCTTTTTAAAAATTTTTAAAATTTGAATCAGTGTCTCTGTCACCCACGACTCATTGCAGCCTCCAACCTCCTGGACTCAGCTGATCTTTCTGCCTCAGCCTCCTGAGTAGCTGAGACTTCACGTGCAGGCTGCCACGCCCAGCTAAATTTTTTTTTTTTTTTTTGTAGTGACGAGGTCTCACTATGTTGCCGAGGCTGATCTTGAACTCCTGGGCTCAAGCAATCCTCCCACCTCAGCCTCCCAAAGTGCTGCTAGGATTACAAGTGTGGGCCACTGCATCCAGCCTTGAATACTTTTTTACTGAAAAAATTCACAGGTCTCAAGGAAACACACTTAATTCTAATGTATTTAAAGAATAAAATAAGTCTGGGTGTGGCGGCTCACACCTATAATCCCAGCACTTTGGGAGGCTGAGGTGAGAGGATTGTCCGAGTCCACAGGTTCGAGACCAGCCTGAGCAACTTGGTGAGACCTCACCTCTACAATAAATCAAGAAAAAGAGCCGAGCGTGGTGGCGCATGCCTGTAGCCTGTAGTTCCAGTTACTTGGAAGGCTGAGGCTGAAGGATCACCTGAGTCCAACAGGTCGAGGTTACAGTGGCCGTGAGCATGCCACTGTACTCCAGCTTGGGCAACAGAGACTCCAACTCAAAAAAAAAAGAATAAAATAAAGTAAAAGTTCCCTTCCTTACCCCATTCCCCATACTAGACTGGTTTCTAGCATAAACAACTTGGAAATATCGCTGGTTTTATACACAATTTTTCTGTATTTATTTATTTATTTATACAAATGAAGAAAGTGAGGCTTAGCGAGGTGAACAGAAGTGGGATGTGATTTGGAGGTCTGTGTAACTCCAAAGGAAAAAATAGTGCTTAGCCCAGGAAAGAGATTAAATATTTTTCATAAATATTATCATCTTGGATACAAAGTCTAACCAAGTTGTTTTTCTCAATGAAAGGTTTAAAAGATTTTCCTATCAGTAGAAATAAATCTACCAGCTCCTTTGAAATCCCACAGAATATTACATGGTTATTTTGAATGAATCACTCTCTATGCATGAGTGATTCGTGATGTAACCATTTGCTATTCATTAATTTATTTTTTTGTAGAGATGGGGTCTCACTATGAGGCCCGGACTGGCCTTGAACTCCTGGCCTCAAGTGGTTCTCCTGTCTCAGCCTGCCAAAGTGCTGGGATTACAGATGTGAGCCACCACGCCTGGCCTGCTATTCATTTATACAGTTTAATTTATCAATTAGTTTATGCCTGTGGAATGGAGATGCTTGTATATTCTTTTTCTCTCTCACTTAAATAAACTTTGAATTTTAGAATATTTGTAGATCAGAAAAGCTGCAAAGATAGTACCGAGGAACCCTCACACGCCTCATCCTATTATTAACATACCACCTTGATGCATCTGTCACAGTCAGGAAACTGACACTGACATGTCACCATTAACCAAAACCCACACTGTTTGGACATCCTATTTATGAATGAGCTTGTGCCATGACAGAGCACTTCTGACTGCAGCCATCCACTCATGTCATCCCTGAGTCCAGGCAGAGGCACGGGTGGGCCAGGAAGTTACCCCCTTGACCAGTAAAAAAGCCGGGTGAGGCTGCGTGGACTAGTGACTTGCCTGGAGGGACCCACTGAGGCACCGAAGAGGCTGGCCTTGGCATCTGGCACCATCTTCCTACCCAGAACATTCTTCCTCTTAAAATGTTCCTCTTGGAAGGAGGCTTCTCCTTCTCTGACTTCTTTTTTTTTTTTGAGTTGGAGTCTCACTCTGTCGCCCAGACTGGAGTGCAGTGGCCGCTCCCGGCCACCGCAGCCTCGACCTGCTGGGCTCTGGCGATCCTTCCACCTCAGCCTTGCAAGTAGCTGGAACTACAGGCGCAGGCTACCACGCCCGGCTGATTTTTTGATTTATTGTAGAGATGAAGTCTCGCCAACTTGCCCAGGCGGGTCTCGAACCCGCAGGCTCAGGCAATCCACTCACCTCGGCCTCCCAAACTGTGGGATTACAGGCTGAGCCATTGAGCCCGGCTTCCTTCTCTGACTTCTGCTAAATATCTCTTGTTCCTTCTCTGGGTCATTTGGGTGTCTTCCTGTCATACTCTCCCCTCATCTCTTCACTCGGGGGACAACAGGGTGGAGTGGAAAGATACGCACTTGGCTTCAAACTACCGTGACCCTCTGAACCGCAGTTTCTACATCTGTGAAACGGGTACAGAGTTTCCCAGGGTGCAGCTTTTTGTCCCTTTCAATGCTCAAGGCTGGAAGCCCCAACATAACTTTCTCTAAGCTACATGGTCATAAATCACAGAATCATTAAATATTTGATAAAAACGCATGTTAAAGACCATCTCCTCCAACCCTTGCATTTTATAGAGGAGGAAACCAGGACCTGGGGACTCCAGGGACCTGTTCAAAGTTACAGAGCTGGGTGTGAACTAGTGACGCAGGGCTCCTGCACAGTGCCCCTCATGGCCCCACTAGGGGCGGGTTCCTGAACGAGCTGGCGAGGAACAGTCGAGCTGCTAACCCTGAAGGTCAGAACAGTACTTGTACTATTGGTTCCCACCTCCTCCAGTTTAAGCAGAGCCCACTGCAGGCAAGTAGGACAAGGCGGGGTGGGGAATGAGGCCTGACCTCCACTAAATGGCAGCTGTCCCTGGCAGGGGTAGGGGTGGAAGGAAGGGAGGGAGAGGCTGCTCCTTGGCGACATTTTGAAGTGGGTCTTCTGGGTTCCTGTCTCCACAGGGCTGGATTCTAGTCCTGGTCTGGCAAAATAAGACTAGTTGGACCAGGCCAGCAGGGTGAGCAGAAGGGCAAAAGGAGTAGGCCCAATAAAGGCCTGGGGGTGGGGTGGGGGGAGGTGGCTCAAGCCTGTAATCTCAGCACCTTGGGAGACCAAGGCGGGAGGACTGCTTGAGCCCAGGAGTTTGAGACCGGCCTAGGCAGCATAGCAAGACCCTGTCTCTACAAAAAAATTTAAAAATAAGCTGGGCATGGTGGTGTGCTTCTGTAGTCCTCACTATTCAGGAGGCTGAGGCAGAAGTCACCTGAGCCCAGGAGGTCGAGGCTGTGGTGAGTCACAATCATGCCACTACACTCTAGCCTGGGCAACAGAGTGAGACCCTGACTCAATTAAAAGAAAAGAAGGAGCCGGGCTCGGTGGCTCAGCCTGTAATCCCGCACCTTTGGGAGGCTGAGGTGAGTGGATTGCCTGAGCCCGCGGGTTTGAGAACCGCCTGCGCAACTTGGCGAGACCTCATCTTTACAATAAATCAAAAATTAGCCGGGTGTGGTAGTGCACGCCTGCAGTTCCAGCTACTTGGAAGGCTGAGGCGGAAGGATCACTGGAGCCCAGCAGGTCGAGGCTGCGGTGGCCGGGAGCGCTGAATATCTTGCACCTGAGTGTGTTTTCCTTATCACTCAGACTGCTAGGAGTCTCAAAAGTGCACAGTGGTGGGCCCAGAGCAAATTAATAGCATTGCACAAACCACATTTCTAGGATTCCTTCACTTGCAGCTGCATATAGTTTTTTCTTTTTCTTTTTTTTTTTGCGTTGGAGTGTCACTCTGTCACCCAGACTGGAGTGCAGTAGCTGCTCCCGGCCACCGCAGCCTCGACCTGCTGGGCTCCGGCAATCCTTCCGCCTCAGCCTTCTAAGTAGTTGGAACTACAGGCACGCGCTACCACGCCTGGCTAATTTTTTATTTATTGTAGAGATGAGGTCTCGCCAAGTTGCCCAGGCGGGTCTCGAACCCGCAGGCTCAGGCAATCCACTCACCTCAGCCTCCCAAAGGCACGGGATTACAGGCTGAGCCACCGAGCCCGGCTGCGTATAGTTTTTTCAACCCTTATCCTTTTCAGCCTGATTCCTTCTTATCTTCACATTTTTTGACTGAGACATCACACAAACAAAATAGAACGAATATGCATTGGCTCTTGGGTCTAATTTAAATCTCTCAGTCACCCTGGAAGGTCACTGTAACTACCCCGCAGTTAAAGATAAATGGGGAAACTGAGACTCAGAAAGATGACAAGACTCCCCAAAGGACATCAAGAAGGTGACCGAGTCAGGACTTGAACTTAAGTTCTGGTTCCCTAGCCCCTCTCCTTCATTACAACGGAGACCGCCATATCCCTGCACAGCACAGGCAGCCCCAGCTGTGGGCTAAAGTCATGGACCCAAGCTTGGCCCCCGTGGGGCCCAGGCAAGTGGTTCTCTGAGGACAAACCCTCTCCAGGTCCTTCCTGCTGCTGAGACATGCAGGTTCCATTACAAAGCTTGAGCAAGAAGCCATCAGAAACAAAACTGTCACAGATGCTTCCATAGCAGCCACACTGTCTTGAGCATATCACACACATGACCTTGCTGAATCATCCCAACACAAAGCAAGTGCCTTTCTCATCCTCACTTTACTGATGA